TATAATCTAAAAACTGAAATTTCGTTTCTCACATATTTGGTGGCAAAATCTAGTCAGACTTGCATATATTTTGTGGCGAAATCATGTATGAAGCTATTTACAGACTCTATTTACACCACCCAAAGTGAAGAGTCTTATATTTAATGCAGAAGTATAACTGTGCACGTTATGGGCTTCGTATGTGGATACATATGTTTGTTTATTTATTATTTTTTGGAGATAGGGTCTCACTATATAGCCTTGGCTGGCCTGGCACTCTCTATGTAGACCAGGCTGACTTTGAACTCACAGAGATAGCCTACCTCTGCTTAAGGAGTGCTGGGATTAAAGGTATGTGCTGCCATGTTTGGCTACTTTAATTTTAATTATGTACACTAGTGTATGTCTGTATATAGTCAAGCATGCTTATGCAGGTGTCCTTGGAGGCTAGGAAAGGGCCTTGGATCCCCTGGAACTGGAGTTACAGGCAGCTATGGGCTGCCTGCCTGACGTGGGTTCTGGAAATCAAACTCAGGTCCTCTGCAAATGCTCTTAACCACAGTGTCACTAGTCTCCTTAAATGAGGGTTCCTCAATAAAGCACTTCTATATCCTACGTGATGAGAGCACACTGCGTGCTCTTAACTCAGACGGTACCTAAGGACGATACAAGGCTCAGAGGCCTTGGGAACATGCACACCGGACTGCACAGGAGGATAATGAGGGGGCAGTGTTATGAATTTTAGAGACAGGTCAACTACCTAACCATAGGGACCAGACTGCATTCTGCAGTGATTGACTGGCTGGTCTTTGTTCCCATTGTCTATCAAGTCTGCTGGCTGGAAAGGGACTCTAAAGACAGCTCTTTAGAATGTCAATCTGCAGTTTTCCCATACAGCCTGCTCTCTCCAGGATTCAGTTCCTATCTCTGAATATGGTGTTGGTAGTAACGCACAATCGGAACTTCAGTATTTTAGCTATGGACTGGGGGTGACAATGGTCCCTCTAGCGAGGCACATTCTCAGAGCTCCGGGAGAGAGCACTGCGTAAGAGGATCCTGTGGACATTTTCTAGTATCATCCTTGTGCCCCACTTTACTCTGTAATAAACTCAGTACATCTACACTGAAAAAAGAAAGAAAATAGGAAAACAATAGAGTACTTCTTTCTTTTTTGCTTTTACTCTGAGTGTTGTGTGGTTTATTAGTTTGGTGTGTCGTTTGACTTTTATTTACATTTTTATTATTCATTTTATCTCTATCTCTCTCTCTCTCTCTCTCTCTCTCTCTCTCTCTCTCTCTCTCTCTCTCTCTCTCTCTCCCTGTGTACGTGTGAGAGGGAGATTCTGCCTGCCTGCTACTTTTGAGATTTATTTCTCTCCAACTTTGTAGGATCAGGGAATTGAACTCAAGTCTTCAGGTTTGGCGTCAACCACCTTTACTAACCTGTATTGGTAAAAACTGAGCCTGTTCTAGGTCGGTTTGCCTACACTCGTCTATCCTGTAAAGATAGGCTTTACTGATTCATTATTGCTTTGGTTACTCTAACACTTAATTACATTGTTCATTCACTTATTACATAAGAGTTTACTCGCAGAGACATTGTTTATAGAGGCAATTCACACTGCCAACTTGGTAACCTGGTTATAGGCTCTGAGTGCCCCCGGGACAGGGAAATGTGAGTTAGAGAAAGGGCTTCATGGTGTGGTTTCCTTATTTCACAGAGGTTTGGAAATTCTAGACTAGGCTCACTTGTGTCTAGCTGCGAAGGCACAACAACAGTAACTAATCTTCCTATGTCCTGAAGCAAAGAAGCAGAGGCCAGAAGTGTCAAGAACACACCCTTGCCGTGGTCTGTGTCCCCTGCTTCCCCACTTCGCATGTTAAGACCTAACGCATACAATGTTGCAGTATTCAGGGTGGGTCATTTTGAAAGGTGATTAGTGTTTTTACAGAGAGAGCCCACTTGGGCTGGGGATTTGGTTCTGTCAGAGAATGACTGCCTAGCACACACAAGGTCTGGGCTGGATTCCTCAGCTTGAGGGGGTGTAGGAAAAGGAGCTTGAGCCTGGGCTACATACTTAAGACCACTATAAAACAAAAACAAAAACAATACTCCAAACAGAGAAATAATACAACCGTACAAGCAAACAAACCCAAGACAAACTCTCAACTCTATTTATTTATTTATTTTTAAGGGCAGCTTGGGCACACAGACTGGCTTGAACTAGTTATCCCCCAGACTCAGCCTCCCAAGTGCTGGGCTTATTGGCGTGTACAATGGTGCCGGGCAGCATGAAGAACCTGGCACGTAACGGTAGCCTCGGCTCACAGGCAGGAGAGGCTGGAGGGTCTCTACAAGTCAACGGCTAAGCTGTTCTATACAACAAGTTCCAAGACAGCCAAGACCACATGGTGAGACCATCTTAAAAAACTCAATTTGGATGTAGAGCAATGAGATGGAGTTCAAGTACTGGCTCTGCTGATTCTAGCTGTGCTACCCTCAGTTTGCTTTTTATCGCCCTAAAGGAGTTCAGGGGTAAGAGCATAAATGTCTATCTGCTTTGTGGGGTGGTGTGAGGATCAGATGGCATCTACCAGAAGGGCCCAGCATTTTATAGGTCATCAAATCAGACTACTTTGGTTATTATGTTTTCACGGGGCTTCTGATACTTTTAAGTTTTCTGCTCTCTGGGGTGGGCAGAAGAGGAATAACGGAGAAAGGAATTGAAAGGGGAATATGGGAAATAAAATGAACAAGAAGATTGACCATTGTCAGGGAATCAAAATAGAAACTCCTCTGTTTCCATGGAAAATGGTGAAAATCTGCAAAAGGAGATAGCATTGCAAAGGCACACCTTGTGTAGAATAGATTGTGCCCAAGGACACTTCCAGAAGAGAGAAGTTTGTGTATTTGTTAAGTGGAGGGCTAGCGGTATAAGGGAGTACTTAGCATGTGTGAAGCCCTAAGTTCATTCCCAGCACTGTGTCTCCCGCTAAACACATTATCTGTGAGAAGAGCAGGGCTAACACACTGTGGTTTGGGGGAAGGATCTAAACAGATGTCCTGAGGAGTATGTTCAAGGAATTCTAGAAATCATACTGGAGAATGGCAGCTACAGAGTGTTCTAGAGGTGAGCATGTCAGAGTGTTTATACAAGGGTTTGTGATCCCTGAGATGCTTGCTCAAATGTCCCATTGTATCAGGGTTCTGCTGGGTCTGAGGAGGGGTCTTGTGAACTTAGTTTCACCAGGATCACAAAGTAACACCCAACATAAGTACATGCCCAGACAGAAGGACTATCCTTCAGACCTGACCCTGAGCCAGGTAGCTCTTCTTTCTGACAGCTTGAGCTTCTCTTGCTGGTGTCCGTAAGTTTACTAGACTGACATTTCTTTGGTTCTGTCCTTTTGAGGAGGCAGGCCTCTCAGAGGAGGGCGGCTGTCATCCCCAGTGGGTAGGAATCCTTCTCACTCTCCTTTATTTGTCTAGTACAGTGGTTCCCTGTCTCTCTCCAGGCGATATTTAAAACGTTGGGGGTTTTTGTTTGTATTTAGTGGTGTGAGGGGGGGTGCATTTACTCATGGGCAGAGCAGGTGTCAAAGCTATCCTTCTGCCAGATAGAGAGTTCTCTCTTATCCAGATTTTCGGGAGTCCCCTAGGACATTCATGTAGGTGAAAACTTTCATTTAATTATCTGAGCCTAGAACTTAATAGTTTTTTTTTAATGGTCTGAATATGCAGCGAACTTTCTAGGAATACAATTACAGTTCTGTGTGAGTTTAGGGAAGCTTGACTTTGCTACTAAGAGTTGCTCAACATCTCCTGAAGTCACTTCATTGATGGCAACGTGCCGTTGGTATTTGAGTCACTGGCTGTGCACCTGTATCAATGTGTGTTGTAGAAGTTCCCTCTCTGTGATTCTATGGAGAGGTTTAAGCATCCTCCTGCTTCGAATGAAACAGCACTCATGCACCAAAACACTGTTATTTTATTACAAATTGCTATGCTTTTGTTTCCTCCTTATAGATGGGGAAATATTTTGATCTTTATAGTCACGTGCCCAGGAAAGTGATGTAATCCATCTATGGGAATTAGTTTGTAGTTTAATATTTGTTCCTAATACAGGATTGAAGGTTGAGAGACTCAGCTTAGGTCTCACGATATGTGGTTCCCTCTCACCTTTCTGGAAGAATTAGCCACAGAGGAGCGCCCCTCCTTTTTCTTAGCAGGACTCCCTTTCTCTTCTTTCCATCCATCATCATCATTAAAGACAACAGCAACACAGGCACCCTGGCTGTCAGACCTCTCTGCCAGGGCCTCCAGTTTACCGTCAAGGATCCGAGTGTGGATGATAACACAGGCTCCAGCTCACCTGGAGGCTCTCTTTTCTTTATGTCCCCTCCTTTCTCCATCTACCTCAGTGTCTTTCCTTGATGCCCCAGGTCTTTTGCTCCGTTGCCATTGACTGACAAGAAGCGGACCACAGAGCCACCCTGAGGTCCCAGTTCCGACTCTCCTACCCCATTTTTCTCCCGCTTAGGTGGCTCCTGGTGCCCCCTCCACCTTCAGCTGCCCTTCTGACCCTGGCTTCTCCTTTCTCTTCCAAGGTCTGTTCTCCAAGCCCTTGCTATCTGCTTCCCTCTTTTTTGGCAGGATTCAGGTCTGTCGCCCTTCTCTTCGTCCAAACATCCTTTTCTCCACCTTCATCCAGGCTTCTTTCTCCGTTCCGGCTCCCCTCCCTTAGGCTCCGGTCGCCTCACCCCCCCCCCTGCAATCTAGCCCGTAGATCTCTCAGCAGCGTTCAGTCCCCGCCCGCCCGTGTGCGTGAGCACCCCTTGTCCCCTCCATCCTACCTCTACTCCCTCCCGCGCCGTGGGCGGTCTAGGGAGGGGCCGGGATCCGGGGCGGCTCCCCGGGCTCGGGTTGTGGGAGGCGCCCTCTCCCGGTCTCCCCCTCCCTTCCCCCCGCCCCGTCTTCCCCTGCACCCTCCTTCCTCCCTCCGCCCGAGAGCTTCCCCGGTCCCCGGCGCCGCCTCCTTCCCTCCCGGCTCCGCGCTTTCGCGGCCGCCGTCGCCCCGGGGAAGGAGAGACGGGGGTGGGGTTTGCGGGTAGTGAGAAAGGAGGGGAGAGACCCCGGCTGGCTGGACCCGGATTCCTAGGGAAGAAGGACAGGGGGAGGGGAAGCTGGAGGACCGGGAGGGAGAACGGGGAGCAGCGGCCGGGCCTGGGGCCTTGAGGCCCGGGGAGAGCCGGGGAGCGGGACCGGGCGCCGAGGTAAGAGCAGGGCCCCAGGAGCAGGGCTTGGAGAGGGGCGCGCAGGGTGGCCGGTGGACGCAGGGCAGGGCCGGGGTTTGGGGTCGGGTGTAAGTGGTAAGCGATGGGGCAGCGGACCCCGGAGCGTGGGTAAGCTGGGCTAGCGCTAGCCACCGGGGCGGCGGAGAGGAGGTGGAGAGAGGTGGAGTCCCGGGAGGGTGGGGGGCCGAGGGAGGCCGGAGGAGGGTGGGGACAGGCGCTCTCTCCTCCTCTCCCCCTAGCCCGTGCGGCTCCGCCCCCGCCTCCTCCGCGGGGCGCCCTCCGTGTCCCGAACCGGGCGGTCGGAGCCTGTGAGGCGCGCAGACCGAGGTCTGTCTGTCGGCTGGTCCAGGCCGCTGCCGGCGGGCTCCGCCGTGCTCTCACGGCCGCCGTTTCCTCAGATGCTGCTGCTGCTGCTGGTGCCTCTCTTCCTCCGCCCCCTGGGCGCAGGCGGGGCGCAGACCCCCAACGCCACCTCGGAAGGTGCACCCTCCTCCGGCGCCCCGGACCTCTTCCACCCTCCAGTCCCTTTTCCTGCACGTCTCCTTTCCTCATCACTCCCGCGTCAGAACCCCACCCCCACCGCCTGGCAGCCACTTCACTACTTCTGACCTCTTTTCTGTCACCCCGCATCACCACCAGCACCCATTTCCTCTGCCTCACGTTGCTACACTACACCTCTTTTCTGTGACCCCGAATTATCTTCGCAGCCCCACCTCCCTTTCCGGGCCCCACATTACTACAGCGCCCCCCTTCCGTGGTCCACTTCATTGCTCAGATGGGCTTGTATGGTCCTCTTCTCATTCAGCTCCGATATCCTTCTTTAGCCCTATTCCCCCATTTTAACCACCGAACATTATAGCCCTTACGATTTCTTCTTAGCTATTTTTCTCCATTACATTCTATCGGTGGAATCTCGCATCAGCATTAGCCCTAACCCATGACTCTGGGTTCTGCAGCTCGGGGTTCTTAACTGTCCCCACTCCTACCTTCTCCCCCCCCCCAACCCCCACCGGGTTTCTGCCCCATCCCGGGCCCTACCACTGACCACACCCTGCTCTTCCTCCTTCCACTGCGGCGCTGCCTTCCCGCTCCCACGGTTCCCCTGTGCCTTCCCACTCCCTCTCAGGTTGCCAGATCATACACCCGCCTTGGGAAGGGGGCATCAGATATCGCGGCCTGACTCGCGACCAGGTGAAGGCTATCAACTTCCTGCCGGTGGACTATGAGATTGAATATGTGTGCCGGGGGGAGCGCGAGGTGGTGGGGCCCAAGGTGCGCAAGTGCCTGGCCAACGGCTCCTGGACGGACATGGACACACCCAGCCGCTGTGGTGAGTAGCCTGGGAAGCGCCCCCTCCCCCCTTCAGGTCGTTCCTTCCCCAAGTTGCAAACCAACCATAGCTATTTTGCAAGTCAGCAGTTTAAATACGGTGGAAACAAATTCACAAATACGTTTAATGAATGAGTACTATGTAGGAGGAGGGGTGTTGCTGTAAGCATTTAGTGGGAGGAAGCAAGCCAGCAGCCAGCACATTCACTTCATCCTCTTTATTAGGGTACTGATCATTGGATGAAATAACTTTGATTTTTCATTTGAGTTCTTTGAGGATCATTAGTGAGGTTTTTTTTTAAGTTATAAAACGATTTCATTACATTTTCTGACACTTTTGTCTCCAACTTAATGACCATATAAGCCAGTTTTGTAGTAATATAGACCAGTCATAAGAAGAAAAGCACCCTGATCATACATCCAAATTTACATACATCTACACATTTCAAAGGGAGAGAACTACCCACTTTACAGTGCTGTGAGCAATTTCTATTTTGTGTGTTTATAGCTCCATCTTGAGTTCCTACAATAGAATTGCTGTTTCTTTTTTTCTGGTAGGAATGTGGATACGGGGACTGGGGAGAAAGGGAGAGGTAGGAAAGGCATAGCCATTGCACACCTGGTTTCCTGTAGAGCAGGGCACTTGTGAACCCAGACCCAAACCTGAGTTCCCTGTACTCCCAAGGGAAAATCCTCTACAACTTGCCTTTCTTATTTTCCTGTCTCTCTACAGTCCGAATCTGCTCCAAGTCTTATTTGACCCTGGAAAATGGGAAGGTTTTCCTGACGGGTGGGGACCTCCCAGCTCTGGATGGAGCCCGGGTGGATTTCCGATGTGACCCCGACTTCCATCTGGTGGGCAGCTCCCGGAGCATCTGTAGTCAGGGCCAGTGGAGCACCCCCAAGCCCCACTGCCAGGGTGAGGGGAACAGCTGCCTGTCTGCAGCTGATGAGATTGCTTGCACTAGAATGGGGGTGGGGTGGGAATGGATAGAGGGGAAGAAAGGATGGGTGTTAGGGAGAATGCTGGGGGGACTTTGGGAAGACAGAGGTGAAAGCCCAACCCTCCACCATGCACCGCCTCAGACTTGTCCCACAATCCTTTGTACTCACTTTGCTGGGCTTCCCTCCACTCCGTTTTCCTTTAGTGTGTTCTTCCTGCTTTCAAGTCCTGGCCCTTTTGTTTGCTCTTTTTCTTCATGAATGTCACCCTCCCTCACCTTCTTAAAGTTTAATGACTCAGATTTTTCCCCTGGAAAACCCACCCCCTTTCTGTAGACATAGAACACCTTATGTATCACTCTTCTAGTATTAATCCTTCGTTATTCATTCTATAATGGAATTACTGTAAATATTCAGAATTAAATCGCACATTACATTTAGAAAAAAAATAACCGGTGAGATCTGGAATTGGAAACATATGGAAGAGGCAAAAACGGGGACAGAATGATTAGACAATAAGGACAACTCAAGGGCAGATGGGAAGCAACCTTTGTCATTCCTTGAGGAAATCAGTGCTTTTGTGATTGCCACCTCTTTGCCCTGCTCTGTCTATTTCTGCAAACATCTCCCTTTTCTGGGCACCCAAACTCTTGTATATTGTCTTCTCTCCTGGAATGAAAATTAAGCTTCAGGGTTCCTCAGTTTTGACTAAGCCTCTGTTTTGAGCTTTTAAGAATGTGTTCATATGCTAGCCAACTTTGGGAGAATTTTCTAAATTAAGGTATTTAAACAGCAATCATTTAAAACCAATTGTACTTGTAGTTTTTTTCTTAAAGAGATTATAGATATTTATAACATTCAAACTCTACAAAACAAGCTATACCCCGACCTTCTTTACTTGCTGGCACAAATTCTGTTGTCCTTTGATAAATAAAGAAAACACCAAGTCCTGACCCCCAGCCCCGCCTTGCTCTTATCCCCAGGCACCCTTCCCTCAACGCAGTCTTCGCTCCGCATGAACAGGTGTGGGAGGGGGCTGGGGATCAGGCCTGGGAAGCTGGGCGCCACTGGTAACTCTTCTCTGATCCCCGTCTTTCCTGCTGCCAGTGAATCGAACGCCACACTCAGGTGAGATCAGAAACCCTTCCCGCGTGCACTGCCGCCCCCATCCCTTAACTTCACCCTCTACCAGCAGGATTTCCTTCCCTAGGTTGTGGGTGTCTTATTATTCATCTTCCCCAACCCATTCTAGTTTGCAGCCTCGCCCTCCTCTCCCTACCTGTTTCTTGCCGCCAAATCGTGGTTTTCCGCGGGTCGGGCTCCCTCCCATCTCCCCGCTTGGCCACGCTCTTCGGGCTCGCGCTCCTCTCGGACTCAGCTTCCAAGCGCGAAGCCCGGTAGGGGGCAGCTGTGTGCTGGGGATCCCCGGTCTCTCCATCGTGGGGTTCCTTCAGACCTCGGGGACCTATTCCTGCCACCCACTACCTAGGTTTTACCGGCGAGATTCCATGGGCCCTGCTCACCTGTCCCACCCATGCGAGGCCTCGCATCCTCCTTAGACCCTTTCTCGCATCACCCTTCCTCAAGCTTCCCCTAATGCTCACTTCTCGATCCCAGCCCTCACTTTCTCAACCCGTATCTGTCTGCAAAACCTTCCTCATCACTCTCGGTCTTCCCACCCTTAGTCCTTCGCTCCATCTCCCCATAGCCCCTTTAAGAACTGTCACCAGCCCCTCCTATCCAACCCACTCTCGCTTCTCGTCTTTGCTCTGTGCTTAGCCTCTCACATTCCAAATCCTGTCGGTCTCCTCCCCTCCAGTCTCCTTCGCGGAGGAGACCCCTCCCTTCCTTGCTCTCTCCCTCCTCTCCCCTCCCCTCCGGGCCTCGACGCTGGCTCCTATCCCCGCCCCCAGGCCGTGACGTCAAGCCCCCCCCCAGCTCCTCTTCTCCCTCCTCCCTTCTGTCGGTCGGTCAGTCGGCGAGGAGAGTCCGCGGTGGCGGGAGCGAGCGCCGCCTGGCCCTGGGAAGCCCACGTCTCTGCCTTCCTGGGGCTCTGGCCCCCTCCTCCCCATGAGATCTGGGATGGAGGCGCCTCCCCGACGCCCTCCCAGCAGCCTTTCCCAGAAGAAGTGTCCCCCCTGAGCTGCCCCCACCCCAAGGAGGCCGCCCCCGCCCCTCCTCGCCATGGGTTCGGGGGGCCCCTGTCTCCCGGTAGGGTGGCCGCTGCCGCTTCTTCTGGTGATGGCGGCTGGGGTGGCTTCGGTGTGGGCCTCCCACTCCCCCCATCTCCCGCGGCCTCACCCGAGGGTCCCCCCGCACCCCTCCTCAGAACGGCGTGCAGTGTACATCGGGGCGCTGTTTCCCATGAGCGGGGGCTGGCCGGGGGGCCAGGCCTGCCAGCCCGCGGTGGAGATGGCGCTGGAGGACGTTAACAGCCGCAGGGACATCTTGCCGGACTACGAGCTCAAGCTTATCCACCACGACAGCAAGGTAGTCGGGGTGAGGGATAGAGTGGCTGGGGTAGTGGGAGGCCAGGGCTGTGAATCCTCTTTGGGATTGCGAAACAGACCCCTCTCCAGTGTGACTGGCTGGAGACGCGCAGGAGGTGCAGGAGCTTAGGGATGTCTCAGTGGCTCTCAAGGCCGACTCGCTTGCAGGCAGTAGGAGATTCGCAGAAATGGTGGGGGGTCTTAGGTACTGATCCTTTGGAGTAAACTATCCCTGGCCATGTTTGGGGGCTGGAAGGAACGTCAGAGCTGGGCAGCTGGCTCAGGGGTTTACATTTACCATGGTAACAAGGTAAATCTTGGCGTAGGTTGGGGCTTAAAGGAATAGGAGGAGAAGGGGGAGGATTTTGAGGGACAAGAGGGTTCTACTTTATCAAAACAAACAGTAAGGTAGGGCTGCATGACTCCTCATCTACCTTGTGGGGGATTCCTGTGAGAATGAGTGGCCTACGGCTCTGGAAAGACTAATAATAATCAAGAGGTGGGCTTAGGCACTGGGAGAGAGTGTATTGGGGTCCATAAGGAGTCCCTACAGCAGCATTGGGGGTGCAGCGTCAGTGTTCAGGGAGATCAGAAAAGAATGGAGAAGGGAGGGGGCGGGGAGGAGGGTGGGGACAGTGAAGAACCCTGGGGCTTCCTGTGGAACTTGGGGTTCTGGGTTTATTATCATGGCCTAGTGGATTTGAAAGGAGAAACAGCACGTAGGGTTGGGAAAAGGATAGAGAGGAGAGGATCATGGTGAAGATATTTGGTGTTAGAGTCTGGTCTATGATAAGATTTCTTTACCAGGTTTCTCCCTAAGTGGGAAAACAGACAGGACAGAAGGAAGGAGGTTTGGGTCGTTTCTGACTTGTGGCTCCAGAGACTTGAGATTAGGGAAAACAGTACAGGTGGGAGATTTGGCCATTTTATACTTGGGGTGTGTGGAACATAGACGTGGACCTCCAAAGGGGGCAGAAATGAGCCTGTGAGCCGAGTGCTAGGGGATGGGCTGGTAGGGGCTTGGAGAGAAAACTTAAAATTCCCTGTATTGTTGCCTTCTCCGTGGGTCTCAAGCATCAACAAACAAGAATCTCCATTCGTCTAAAACACTAGTTCAAACTCCTTAGTCGGGAAGGAATCCTAAGTAGTATATCTTCATTTTCATCCACAGAAATCCTGCCTAGAAAATGCCTGCCTGCAGCTTACCCCAGGATGCCCATGGGAAGAATGGCAGGGCGCAGGGAAAAAATGCCATGTGAGGGTAGGGAGGCAGGAAGAGAGAGGGTCTTGATCTCTTTAGAGAGAAAATCAGATCATTGGCCGTGAGGGGGAACTAGAAAGAGACAGAGATGAAGCAGGCTTTGGGGTGGGGCATGGCAGGAAGACAGGGGAGTCTGGGGTAGGGGGCTCGGAGAAGGCAGAAGTGAAGGAGGGGGTGTGGCAGAGGACAGGTCTAGGCCCTTGGTTGGTAAGAGGGGAACCCCATGGAGGGGGACTTCGCAGTGATGAGTGTGGTGTGGAGGGGGGTATGTAAGAACAGGAAGGGAGGAAATGAAGCAGAAAATGGCACACACATTAGGCCACACATGCCCTGCTTTATGTAACTGAAGGTTTCTGAATATCCTTATTGTTCATATTAAGTAATTTCTTCAGACAAACGGCAGAGGGACACTGGGAGAAGCTGGGGGCAGTCTCTGTTCTAATGTAAGTTGGGAAGGACCTCACAATGGTAAAAAAAAAAAAATTGCAAAGATGCTCTAAGAAGGAGGCATGGAAGTGTTCCAAACCTACAGGTGAGCCCTGCCCTTGACAGGGCGAGAGAGCAGAGCAGCTCGCAATTCAGAGTGAATTTTTTGGGTGCTCAGATTTGCCAGCTCTTCCTGGCTCCCTGGGCTTCATGTCTCCAACTTCCCACAGTGCCTCAAATGTCAGGCCTCAGTGGGGAGCAAGCAGACTCCAGGTGCCTTCTTTATTTCCTTTCTAACCCCTTCTGCTAAGTTCACTCTCTCCAGTCCCCTGTGACCCTCTGCTCTGACTCCCCACTGGTTGCCATTTCTTCTCCACTTCTTTTGGGGCTCCAGCAGCTTCTGAAATGTCATACTTCAGCGGGAGGGGAACAGACAGTGGGGGACCCATGGCTGGTTCTTCCTCCCCCAATTTTCCTCCTACCTTTCTTTTGCTCTCCAGCTTTCCTGGTGCGTCTCTTTCAGGAACCTCTAATATCATTCTGCTTGTGGAGAGTTCCATTCTATTTATTTTCCTCATTTTGGAGTCTTCCTTAACTCCCCTTTTTCTAATTGACTTGTCAAATGTCAGGGCCCAGCAGGAAAGGATGGGGTGCTGAGCAGATCCCCTACTGATCTTGTTCCTATTCTCTCAAATTGAAGGTGAAAATTTCATTAAGAAAGCTGTCTGGGGCTCTGGGATGTGTGTGTTCCTGCAGACTTTCTGGGCAGATGTGCAGAGGCTGTAAACATGGGATGGATGGGGGAGGCAGAGATGACCAAACAGAATAGGTTTGGGGATGATTGAGGATGAGCAGAAAAGGGGAGGGTAGAATGGGCATTGATATGGAAGGGAGAACGTGCAATAGTGGGTAGGGCTAAGGTTCCAGATGGAAGACAAGAGAAGGGAGCTCAATGAAAGAGGGAAAACTAGAAACCTGAGAGGAAGTAGAAGGTGGTGAAAATGATGGAAGTGAGTAACTGAGAAAGGTGCTAGGTTGTCCAAGACAGTAGGCATTGCAAGATGTGTGTGTCTGTGCGGGGATGGGGGGACTGGGAGCCAGCTTCATTCCTCCACCTTCCTTCAGTGTGACCCAGGGCAAGCCACAAAGTACTTGTATGAACTGCTCTACAATGACCCCATCAAGATCATCCTCATGCCAGGCTGCAGTTCTGTGTCCACACTTGTAGCCGAGGCTGCCCGGATGTGGAATCTTATTGTGGTATGCAAGGGGGTGGGAGGGAGGGTCGTCTCCTCTTGGGCTATGCTAAGTAGAGGAATTGTGGTTATGTTTAAGAAGAAACCCACTGCCAGGATCGGCCAGCAGAGAGAATCTGAGCTGGTTGACCTTCTGGTAGCATTGCCTGAAGGAGCTATGGGTTTCCATGATGAGGATTGGTATGTGTGTGTTCGTAGGACACTGCTTTTCATAGGACAAAGGTGGGGAAGTTTGCAGAGTTGGGAGGAAAATGCAAGCCTAGAAAGGGCTAAAGACACTCCTGGCATCCTCCGTTTTCACGGACACTTCCCATCCTTCTGCTCCAGCTCTCCTACGGCTCCAGCTCACCAGCCCTGTCAAACCGGCAGCGTTTTCCAACGTTCTTCCGAACACATCCGTCCGCCACACTCCACAATCCCACCCGGGTGAAACTCTTTGAAAAGTGGGGCTGGAAGAAGATTGCCACCATCCAGCAGACCACAGAGGTCTTCACCTCAGTGAGTCCCAACAGGGGATGGGACGTGAGGTCCCAGGGGCATCTGCTCTGTTGTGGGAGATCTGGATGGTTTATCAAAAGTGAACACATTCCAAGTGGGCGAAGCGCTTGTTCTTTCTGTAGCCTGGGGAACACATGAGTTGGATTTTTGGAATCCTTGCCATCGTTTTGTTTTGTTCCCCAGACAGATAGGATTCTGCTCTATGGAAGTCGGTTTAATCCGAGTTGAGATGAGAGGGAATATGAACTAGGGAGGCAGTGGGTTCTGGTGCCTTTAGGGGTGGATGGTGCTTGGCAGCTGAGTGTGGAGCTATTGGATGGGGTGGGAAAGAAGAGGATGAAGGCACAGGCAGACAAATAAGGGACCCATGACAAAGGTGTGGGTTTGGTAGTTGACACGGAGAGATGCCCATAGATAATCTGAAGAGAGATGGCAAGTTTGCAGAGGTGGAGAGGAAATGCAGGGCTCCACACTTGAGGGAAGGAGCCTGATTATTCTCTTTGGGTTTTCTATGAACTGATTGTGTTCAGTGACCCTTTAGTCCTCCCTCCCACCTTTTCTCAGTGACTCAGTCCATTTTTCCTGTGACCCTTTCGTCTGCCTTCCCACTTGCCTCTTGAGCTGGCATCAGTCTGTCTATTCTGGACCCTGCCCTGCTTTTTTGTTTCCTCTCATTCTCGGTATCATGAGTGGGGTGGATGAGGCAGTGTCCCTGGATACAGACCCCGAGGAAGGGCTCATCATGCATCTTGGACTGGGGGTGCTTTATTCCATTCTGCTGGATTAAGGCTCAGATACTACACCTTTGCAGTGCTGTTCACAGCCAGTTCTCACTCATGAGCTCTGCTCTATCCTGTGTGCTGTACCCCACCTCCCTCCTTCTTTCTTATTCCCACCCAAGACGCTAGATGATCTCGAGGAACGAGTAAAGGAGGCTGGGATCGAGATCACCTTCCGCCAGAGTTTCTTCTCAGATCCAGCTGTGCCTGTTAAAAACCTGAAGGTGGGCGAGCAGGGGTGGTGGGCTCCACCTGCCCAGGGGTCATGGTGGGAGGGTGGTCAGCTAGAAAGGAGACCCTGGAAGAGGCAGTTGTTCATTTGGCGAGGCAGTCGAGTCTCCGGGGAAGGTTTAGTTCCATCTCCAGTTGACATTTATCCACTGCCCATTGAACATTTTTTTTTTTTCACTAAGCAGTGGGAGCTGGGAAATCAACGCTTCAAAAGCACTGGCTTAACCCTCGGGCGCTTTCAGCATCCCTCAGGAGCTCTGTTTCTGTTTTATAGCGTCAAGATGCTCGGATCATCGTGGGACTTTTCTATGAGACTGAAGCCCGGAAAGTTTTTTGTGAGGTGGAGATGGAATCTGGAGCCGGGAGGGGCTGGTGGTTTTCTCGTGGTCCTCCCTGTGGCATTTCTGCTCAGATTGATAGCAGAGAACCCGAGGTGATAATGAATACCAAGCCCGCCTGTAGGCTCTGATCCACCGCTTGTCTACATTCAAGCATGCACATACACTTTCCCGTTTGCCTCTTTTGTATTTTAACGGCGGCATCTTGTTGAGCCTTCCCTGTGATTTGAAGATTTAAATATATA